CCTCACTTCACACCAGGACGGCTGCCCTCACTTCACACCAGGACGGCTACCTCACTTCACACCAGGACGGCTACCCTCACTTCACACCATGACAGCTGCCTCACTTCTCACCAGGACGGCTGCCTCACTTCACGGCAGGACGGCTGCCTCACTTCACGCCAGGACGGCTGCCTCACTTCACGGCAGGACGGCTGCCTCACTTCATGTCAGGACGGCTGTGCTCACTTCACACCAGGACGGCTGCCTCACTTCATGCCAGGATGGCTGTGGTCACTTCACGCCAGGACGGCTGTGCTCACTTCACACCAGGACGGCTGCCTCACTTCACACCAGGACGGCTGTGGTCACTTCACACCAGGATGGCTGTGCTCACTTCACACCAGGATGCTGTGATCAACCAGACAGACAGCATCAAGTGTTGGAGAGGATATAGAGAAGCCAGAACCTCCTCACTCCCCACAGGATTGCAAAATGGTGCAGCCACTTGGGAAAATAGTTTGGCAAACCTTCCTCAAATGATGAAACATACAGTCCCTGTGTGACCCAGCAATTCCGCTCCAAGGACCAGACCCAAGAGACATGAAAGTGTGTCCACACAGAGACTCACCCCAGATGGCCATAGTGGCGTCATCCATAATACCCACAGAGCATAAACCGCTCAAGTGCCCGTCCCCTGGAGAATGGACAAAGTGGGCTGCAGCCCTATGATGGACAGGGTGCAGCCACAGAGCAATGAAGTCGGGACCCATCAGACAACAGGGATGCGCCTGGAAACACGATGCTGAGAGGGCCACATGCTGTCTGATCCCATTTGTTAGTGTCCAGACCAGGGAAACCCAGAGACAGAAAGTAGATTCATGGCAGCTGGGGGCTGGGGAAGGGGCAGTGGAGGCCAATGGGTTTCTTTGGGGGATGATGAAAATGTCCTAAAATTGTGGACGGCTTCATACCAGGACGGCGGTGACTAAACTAAAAGCCACGAGTAGTCCCCATAGAAAGGTGATGTGTATAGTAAGTGTTAGGTCTCAATAACCCAAACCACACCCACTGCCTGGAGTCCATTCCGACCCACAGCGCCCCTAGAGGACAGAGTGGAACTGCCCACAGGATCTCCCAGGCTGTCAATCTTCACAGAAGCAAAGCCCAAACCACACCCACTGCCTGGAGTCCATTCTGACCCACAGCGCCCCTAGAGGACAGAGTGG